CTGCACAGGAGTTACGCTGGCTCACCTACCTGCTGACCGACCTTGGAGAGCAGCCTCGTTCTCCTCCAGTCCTGTACGTAGACAACAAGGCCATGCTGGCCTTGTGTCGAGAGCAGCGACTGGAGCACAGAACGAAGCACATTGCTCTTCGTTACTTTCTTGCTCGTGAGCTACAGCAGCGTGGACAGCTGCGACTTGCGTACGTGGCCTCTGAGGCCAACACTGCTGATGTCTTCACCAAGGCACTTGCGCCTTGTGATCATCAGCGTTGCTGCACGCAGTTGGGTCTTGTGCCTGTCTTGCCTCACTTGCTCTCCTCTTGACCTTGCTTGTACTTTTGCATATATATACTCTTGTTCTTGTATATCTCTATATATGATCTTGCATGTGAACTGGCCTTGTGGCCTTTGAACTTGTGCTCGGAATGCGTGGTGACTTTGTGATCCACCCTGAGCTTTGCTTTGCTTTGCTTGACTGGTCTTGTGACCCCTTGTTCTCCCCCACTTTGCCTATGGGGGTGTGTCAGAACTTATAGCTTACTTGTTTCTGTAGGCTATAGTGGGGTATCCCATAGGGGGTACAACCCAATTAGGGTTTCCTATTTGTACTCACTTCGTTCATAGTCATTTCATTCTCGTTCTTTGTTTCCACACTAGGTTAGGCGCATTCCTATATTTTATTATAGTTATAGCACCGAACCAGGTTACGTGTACCGAACTCAAGCCTATTCTGTTTCCACCAAATTGCTTTCTACTGAGTTCGGGAAGGTTCTGTTCGGGACGCTTCGCGACCCTCAGAACATTCGCGTAACACCTGGGTTACATGCCTTGTGTCGAGCCTATATATAGCCTCGTGTTGTACCCAGGTGGAGCATTCAATTACAATTATGTTTTCTGAGCTCGATCCTAGATCCTCACACTTGGTAATCAGAGCATGTTTACACGCCATAGTATTTCGACCGCTAAAACCGAGTCTTAAATTACCGCGGGGGCGACGCTGATAAACACTGATTTCGGGTATGTAAAAACGGTTCCATATTTTTCGATCCTCCTCGTTCCGGTTTTTTTCGAACGCATAATGAAAGGCATGGAGGGTCAAGGCGACAACTACGCGACAATGAGCGACATCGCCAGCCTTCGCACCGACATGGAACAGACGCAGGCGGCGATTCGGCGACTCGAGGCCCTTCTGACAAACCAATCCGCAGCCGCCATCGCAGCAGTCAATGCAGCGGCGAACGTAGCAGCGACACAGCAGCAACGACAGCGACACCGACTTTTCACGGGCTGATGGCACTACCGACGCCGAACGTCAAAGTAGCTCGCCCGAGGCTCCCTGAAGCGTTCGATCGAAGCACGAAAGGATCTGACGTTCGACGTTTTGTGGCGACCCTCGAAATTTATTTCGAGGCCATTGGCTGTTCGACCCCGACACACGACGCAGCACAAATTCGGCTCGCAGCGACACTGTTGCAGGGACCACCACTCGAGTGGATATATTACACTGACGTGGCCTACAGGGAGAAAACGTGGCAGCAATTTCGGGAGGATCTAATCGAGCCTTTCGAACCAATCAATTTGGTCTACATGGCGCGGCAGCAGATTCACCGACACAAACAGTACGGCAGCGTAGCACAGTACACGCAGTGGATGGAATTTCTGTTCAACCAAATCACTGACCTGACGGACGGCGAAAAAATCCAAGCGTACACCAAAGGATTAAAAATGGAGATTCGACGGCAGGTGATTTAGGCGAACTACAATAGCTACCGCGACATCGTACGGGCAACAGAAAGGTACAACGCGTTGACAAGAGGTCAGCCCGACACACGACGCTACGGGCCAAACTGTACATTTGGCCTGGAGCGATTGGTGTGAAAGAACGAGGAATGGATGCACTAGGAAACAAGTGGGTACAAGTAGGAAAACCTTAAAGTGTTGTACCCCATATTGTCTACCCCACTACAGCCTACACAGACTATAGCATATAAGTTTGACAAAACCCCATAGGCAAAGTGGGGGAGAAAAAGAGGTCACAAGACCAGTCAAGCAAAGCACAGTAAGCTCAGGGTGAATAACAACGTCACCACACATTCCGAGCACAAGTTCAAGGCCACAAGGGCAGTTCGCATGCAAGATCATATACAAAGGCAAACAAGCACGTGCAGGTATAGATAGATCACAGTACAAGAAAGGTTAAGAAGTGAGCAAGTGAGGCCAAGTAGGCACAAGACCTAGCATAGTACAGAAGCGCTGATGATCACAAGGCGGAAGTGACTTGGTAAAGATATCAGCAGTGTTGGCCTGAGAGGCCACGTAAGCGAGGCGCAGCTGACCACGCTGCTGTAGCTCACGAGCAAGGAAGTAGCGAAGAGCAATGTGCTTCGTTCTGTGCTCCAGTCTGTGCTCCCGACACAAGGCCAGCATGGCCTTGTTGTCTACGTACAGAACTGGAGGAGAACGAGGCGGCTCTCCTAGGTCAGTCAGCAGGTAGGTGAGCCAGCGTAGCTCCTGTGCAGCCATGGCCCCCGCGTAGATCTCAGCCTCACAGCTAGAGCCGAGAACAGAAGACGAGCGGGTAGACCGCCACGAAACAGAGCCGGAACCAAGGTTGAAGGTGTAACCCTGTGACGACCGCTGCATACCCTGGTCGTCAGCCCAAGAAGCGTCTTCGTGACTTGTGAGGACCACTGAACGCCGCCCTCCAAGCACTAGCCCCATGCCCGACGTACTGCACAAGTAGCGCAACACCCTCTTCGCTGCAGCCATGTGCTCTGGTCAATGTCTACTAGGAGCAACATAGCGTGCCAAGATGATAAGAGGGTATGCAAGGTCAGGTCGAGTGCAGGTCATCTGGTATATGAGGCAACTAACAAGCTCCAGGTACGGGCCACTCGGCTCTACGGACTCATCCGAAGGCAGAGCTGAGAGCGAGTGGCGAGTAGACAGAGGAGTGGCCTGAGGCGAGGAGTACGTGAAGTCGAAGCGCTGAAGGACCTGCTGCACCATGTGTGACTGAGTCAGGGTAATGGTGCGCTGTGCTCTGTCCCGGGTGATCTGCAAGCCAAGGTAGCTGCGCAGTTCACCCAGGTCTGAGCACGTGTGTCTCTTCTGCAGCTCGGACTTCACGTGGGCGAGTCCAGCAGTGTCAGCAGTGGCAAAGACCAAGTCGTCAATGTACACGAGGATGTAGAACGGCAGCAAAGAGGTGTCAGTGCGTAGAAACAATGACGGGTTTGGCTGTAGAAGGAGCAAACCCAAGAGCCGCAAGTGTAGTCCTCAGTGTGTCGTGCCACTCACGGGGCGCCTGGCGGAGACCGTAGACTGGCCGCCGGAGGCTCCACTGGTTACCAGGAGGAAACGACCCAGTGAAGCCAGGTGGGCGGCGGAGCTAGATCTCCTCGTGCAGGCTGCCCTGCAAGAAAGCTGTGCTGAAGTCAAGAGAGTGAAGCTCGTAGTCGCGCTGAGCGGCTATGTGCAGCAGCACCCGAAGAGTGGTCATCTTCGGGGTGGGAGAGAAGGTTTGAAAGTAGTCAACTCCCTGCCGTTGACTGAAGCCTCGAGCCACGTAACGCGCCTTGAAGACAGGCGGAGAACGCGGCGGCCGCTTCACCCTGAATATCCACATGCCACTGACGATGTTCGCCCCAGATGGGGGAACCTCGTCGACGTAGGTGCCTGTGGACTTCCAGGAAGCCATCTCTGTGTCCATGGCTGACTGCCACCGTGAGGAGTAGGGACCCTCGATCGCCCCAGCGTACGATCGAGGAGTCGGGATGTCAAGTGCATCCGGGTCTCCCTCAGGGGCAATCAGCGTGGACACGAGATGGGGCAAAGCAGCAGCAAAGTACTGGAACTCCTCCTGCCTGTCCTCAAGGACGTCCGTGCTAAGAGCACACTCACCCCCGACGGACAGAGGACAGACAGACGCAGACTCAGCAACAAGACTAGCGGCGTAGTTTAGACGACAACGAGCAGCAAAGTCGACAAGCTCAGCAACCAAGGCAAACGCAGCTGTGGACTCAAAGGAAGGGTCAATGACAACAGTAGCCAAGAGATGCATGACAGAAGGACTGGCAGCACGAAGAGAGTCAGACTCCGGGTCAGCAAGAGTAGGAAGAGAGGACTCAGGAGCAGACGGCAACGGGACACGCAGAGGAGCAATGGAAGGACGCAGTGCCATCTGGTGTGTGCCGGGGACCGTAGGAGGACGCGAACGCGGAACACGACTACTAGTGCGAGCAGCACGAACAGGCAACACAGGACGACACGCAGGCTCACGACGCTCAGCAAGACCTCCGGTAGGACCAGTTTCGGGAGAAGGGGCAGGGAGGGGGGAGGCGGGCTGTAACTATGACTACGACTGGACAGGCGGTGGACACTCTGAGGGAGGAGCAGGACCAGTAGAAGGCGGAAGACCAAGAACCTGCTCAAGGAGTGGAACGAAGTACAGCCGCGGCCGCGCAGCGCCTCCTCAAACAGCAGGGACAGCACCAGTACCCCCAGCGGCAGCACCAGCGCCAGCAGCACCTCCAGCTCCAGCAGCGCTAACTCCAGCACCCTCAGAAGCACCACCGCCAACACCCCCCAGTAGCTCCAGCTCCAGCAGCACTTACTTCAGCAGGACCGCCTGCTCCGGCACCGCCAGTAGCTCCACCACTAGGAGCACCTCCAGGCCCAGCAGCTCTAGTCCCCCTAGTAGTACCAGCAGCTCTAGTACCTCCAGCAGCACCAACTTCAGCGGCCCCAGCAGCACCTCCTGTCCCAGCAGCTCCAGTACCGCCAGTATGAGCACCTCCAGGACCAGTGGCTCCAGTACCTCCTGCGCCGACCCCAGGGTCAGCAGCAACAGTAGCACCTCCAGCTCCAGCAGCACAGCTCCAGCGCCGGGCAAACCACTCGCAGAGCTCGTGTGGAGAGGGTAGCTTCCGCCTCGACGAAGCTCCCGAAGGGCCCCTAGACCCAGCACCGCCAGAGGCCACACGAGCAGACCCAGCAGCCCTAGGCTCAGAATCCCCAGGCTCCGCACCCCCAGGCTCAGCACCCCCATGCTCAGCACCCCGAGACTCAGCACCCTGAGGCTCAGCACCCCCAGACTCAGCACCCCTAGGCTCAGCACCCCTAGCAGCACCAGAGTCAACAGCTACCTCGACAGGCTCGACTGCATCTACCTGGGAGACACCTGACGGGGCAGGACCCGGGGGGGGACCTGGCGCAAGGAAGAGCGGCGGCGGGGGGAGGGGCGCAGTGCGGTCGGGGAAGAGACGGTAGTAAGGCACCGACTCGTCAAAGGTGACGTCCTGGGAGGACAGAATACGGCGCAAGGTGGGGTGGTAAAACTGCCAACCAGGCGCGTAAGGGGGGAAGCCAAGGAAGACGCAGGGAATAGCACGGGTGGACAGCTGGTTCGCTGACAAGTCGCGGACAAACGCCCGAGATCCCCAGACACGAAACGCAGACGCATCGCCAACCTTCCCTGTCCACCGCAAGGTGGGGGAGGCCTCTGGCAAGGAGACGCGGGGCTGAAGGTTGAGCTGATGCACTGCGTACTGAACCGCAAACGGCCACAGAATATGGGGAGCAGCCGCATGGATCATGGACGTACGAGCGACGTCCATGACCATGCCAATGCGGCGCTCAGCAATACCATTTTGCTGTGGAGATGCCGGAAGCATGAAGGTCTGACGAGTGCCCTGTGCACGACAGAAGGCTCCCAGACAGGCAGAGGAAAACTCCCCTCCTCTGTCAGATTACAGACGCAAAACAGGAAAGTCCGAGCCGAAACTCTCTCTGAGCTGGAGACGAGTTGCGCGGATCCAGTCGATCAACACCTCAGTGACGTCACCCTTGCTGCGCAAGGGGAAGACTGTGGTGTAACGCGAGTAGTCGTCAACCACCAACAGGAAGTAACGCTCGTGACCCTGGCCACGGACGCGGGCTGGGCCCCACACGTCCATGTGAAGAGTCTGCAGCGGAGCCTCTGTCGGTGGAAACTTGGAGGAGTGAGGAGCAGCGCGCTGCCGCCCCTCGACGTAGGGAACGCAGGTACGGGCAGGCCCCGGAGGGAGGGGAGGGAGGGACAGGGGGAGACCAGAGACAAAGTAACGGGAGGCCATGCCTCGGAGACGAGGCAGGGAGGGGTGACCAAGGCGGTGGTGCCAGAGGAGAGTCCGGTGGGACAGGAGACGACACGAGGAGGGCGCAGACTCAAAACCAGACCTGGACGCTGCAGCAAGCACCTGACCCGACGCACCTACCTGACCAGACTCAGGAACCGGAGGAGACTCAGTAGTCAGCGTGTACACGCTCGACCCCGGCTGACGGGTGAACGTGGGCAAGTGTCGGCCCGTCCGAGCACACGTATAATGGGTCACCCGCTGACTCGCAGGAGTGAACTGGTCGACCCCCCCATCCTGTAGATCAGCACCACTCACCAAGTTCGTAGAGAACGAGGGGAGGTAGATACCGGACAGGGTGCCAGAGGGGGCCGCCGGACACCGTAAGACAGTGGAGAAGTGGGCAAGGACAAGACCCCTAGAGGGGTCCGCCAGGGAGACCGCAACTGGCCGACTAAGCGGCGTAAGCGTGGTGCGCTCTCGAAAGAAGGAGCGGGAAGCACCCGAGTCAAGGGCGAAGGTGTGTAAGGCCTGAGCCGACGTGGTACCTGAGAGAGCAGACGCACAAGTTACTGGGGCAGCAGACGCACTAGCACCTAGAGCAGCAGCCTCAATGCCCGGGTCAGGCGGAACACACAGGTGAAAGTCACCCTCATCACTAGTAGACACAACATACATGGCAGCAATAATGGCATCATCATCCAGATCAAAGATAGCAACCCACGACCTAAGCAGCTCGCCCCAACGGGGGATCTCAGTGGGGTCAGGGAACTGGAGACGCCAAGCGTCCGTGAGGCGGCCGAAGCAGCGCTGGGTGGTGTGCGGGCCACCGCACGGCTCACCAGTGCGGTCGCCGGGACGCAGGACGTAGGCACAAGGACCAGCACCCCCACCCCGCTGACGCGCAACGTACCACTCACGAAGCTGCTGGGGGGGCGGGGTCTTACGAGTGCGCTGCTGTTGCTGGCGCTGACCACCACCGAAGCCGCTCTGCAGCACAGAGCCACCCCGACCAGCTCCACCTCCGCCGCCGCCACCTCTGCCACCGCTGCCACCGCCTCCTCCTCCGCTCCCACCGCCACCGCCGCCGCCGCCTCTGCCTCCACCGCCATTACCGAAGCTCCCACCCCCGCCACCACTCCTACCGCCACCCCCACTCCCCCCGCCGCCTCCACCGCCACCTCCACCGCCCCCGCCAGCCCCTCCAGCGCCCTTGCCCCCCTTGCCCTTGCCGGTTCGGCGTCTCCCACTAGAGGCAGACGCAGCGCCGACCGACTCGGTGCCAACGAAGTCGACGGCAGTAGCAGAGGCAACAGAGGGCAGAAGGGGGGAGGGGGATCACCCCTCAAAGAAGGGGGCACGAGGGTCACCACGAGAGGCTCCTACAGCAACTATACTCTTCTCAGCTGCCAAGAGGTGCTCCTCGGGGAGGTCAACGGTGAGTGTGGTGGGGCAAACAGAGAGGAAGTGGTCCCTGACCGAGCGAAGGGAGTCAGGGAGCCGGGTGACTATGTAGTAGAGGGTGATGTACATGGGGGGGGGGGGTTCTTAGCGTAGAACTCAGCAGGAAGCGCAGCGCGGTAGCGGGTGTCACTAGTGTGAAGGTGCGTAATGAGGTCAGCGACTGTGGGAAAGGCGGCGAGGTCAGGGAACAGGTACGGCAGCATGAGGCGGCTAAGGGCAGCAATGGCAGGGGAAGAGTAGCGTGCAACTACAGCGTCGTACAAGGTCTTAGCACTCTTGTACTGACCATTGTGCGCGCGCTCAGTGGACGGCAAGTGACTACGCACACCAAGACGGGCAGCAGCATCGTGTGTGGCCCACTGTGAGCGAACAGTGCTGTCAGCATCGGCAGAAGGGGCAGCAGAGGCGCCAGACGTGAGATGGAACAGTGAGAGACCGTCTTTCCTATCGCACTGTAGGAAAAGCTGTAGATCATCTACCCAGACCTCAAAGTCAACAGCCCGACCCTCAGCATCAAAGGTGAGAACGCTAGGGGTAGCCATGACAGCAGTGGCAGTAGGCTAGGGGCAGCAGTAGCACGCGTGGCTCAGCGGTGCTCTTACCAGGGCGGGTGGCTAGGGGCCCTCAAGCGATGGGGCAGGGCCGAGGCGCTTTTGCAGGGACAGGGCCGCGACCGTGGCAGCGGCTCCTGCTGTCACCGGCGGCGGCAGTTGCGGTCCCGGCAGCGGCGGTAATGGTGGTCACGGCAGCAGCGGTGGCAGTTGCGGCTGTCGGCGGCGACTGCTGCTACTGTCGGCGGCCGCCGCTGCTCTCGGTGGCTCCTGCTGCTGTCGGCTGTTGCTGGCGGCGGCTGGTGCTGTTCGCGGAGGAGCCGAGAAGGGGCCACGAGGGACCGTGAAGGGGCCGCGAAGGGCGGCGACGGGGCCAAGAAGGGCGGCGACGGGGCCTTGAAGGGCGGCGACGAGGCCGAGACGGGCGGCGACAGGGCCGCAAAGGGCGGCGACGGGGCCGAGACGGGCGGCGACGGGGCCGCGAAGGGCGGCAACGGGGCCGAGAAGGGCGGCGACGGGGCCGAGAAGGGCGACCACGGGGCCGCAAAGGGCGGCGACGGGGCCGCAAAGGGCGGCGACGGGGCCGCAAAGGGCGGCGACGGGGCCGAGACGGGCGGCGACGAGGCTGCGAAGGGCGGCGACGGGGCCGAGAAGGTGCCGCGAGGGGCCTCGAAGAGCGGCGACGGGGCCGCGAAGGGCGGCGACGGGGCCGCGAAGGGGCCGCGAGGGGCCACGAAGGGGCCGCGAGGGGCTCGAAGGGGCCGCGAAGGGCCGTGAGAGGGGCCGTGAGGGGCCGTGAGAGGGGCCGCTACGGGGCCGTAAGGGAGCGCGATGGGCCGCTAAGGGCATGGGACGCGACGGGAGGGTAAGCACACGGGGCGCGACTCGGGCAGGGGCGAAGCGCGCTCCGGGCAGGAGAAAAAAAAAGATTTTCGGTTGGCCCTAGGAAACGTTCCCACTAGGGAACCTGCTCTATACCATGTCAAAGAACGAGGAATGGATGCACTAGGAAACATGTGGGTACAAGTAGGCAAACCTAAAAGTGTTGTACCCCATATTGTCTACCCCACTACAGCCTACACAGACAATCGGCACCCCCCACGTTCGCCGAACCAATGGACATCAACAAATACAATGCGAAGCAACAGCCAACAAAATGCGAATTTTGCGGCGCAGCGGGACATCAATTTTTGTCATGCTACCAGATGAAAAAAGCGCGTGCGGTACTGCTAGGCAGCAACAGTGGAGCACCCCCGAAGTAAAAAAACGAGAATCGTCAGTAGCCGCGGATCGACCTGGCGATCGCGTAAAGATCCGAAAGGCAAAAAAGGGCGACGACGTCGCGACTTCGGAGCGGGTGAAAAAAGGAGAAAATAATGGCGCGAATATAAAACGTCACGACCGGCCAGCATCAGGGGATATCGCAGAGGCGAATGGAGGCTGCGCAAAAAAAGACTCTGCACCGACCGGGAAACTCCAGCCGAACACCCACGAAAGTAAGAATTCGTTAGAAGTATCCTATAAAGATACTCTAAAGAAAAATATTGCTTCTCGTGGTTTTCAAGCCTTTGAGAAATTCAGGGGAGATTTAGAGGCCAAGAAAAAGCCTCTAGAGGTTATTCAGTTACTTGAGAAGTTGGGCAGAGTACTACGGAGCGTAGAAAAGGGTCGTGCGTTCCGTGGAGTTAATATTCTCTCCCCGCAGCATAGTGTTTAGGCCCCCCGTTGCCCACAGGTGAAGCCTACACAGCTGCAAAGGCTTAGAGGAAAATTCTAGGCTCAGGAGAAGTTATACAAGCCTTGGAAAAATCCTCCTACCCCCCATGTGAAGTTGGAAGTGAAAAGTGCTGAGTCAGGTATAGGAAATAGGGAAGATATTCAGTTTGATGTACCCTATGTTCCTATTAAGGAGACCCTCTTTGACTACTCAGCGCAGCAGGCACCACTACTCCTCGAGGTCTTATGCAAAGCACGACGCCTCCAGGCACTGGTGGACAGTGGTGCATCTCACTAAGTGCGTGACCGCGGGACGTTGGAGAAAATTGGGGAACCTTCCGAGGAGACCAAGTTCACGGCAACGATGGTGGACGGTACAAAACTTCCCATCCACAGCGAAGCATCACTGCAGCTGCACATAGGGGCGCTGAGGTGGAAGCCGACGTTGCCGATCATGAACATCAAAGGTTCAGATTTCAAGATGGGATTTCTTGAAGCGGTTCAACCCCGAGATCGATTGGGTCAACAGGAAGGTGTGCATCTACAACAACGGGAAGCGGATAGCACTACGAAGCTGGACGGATACGGGGAACGTTCCTGAAACGACACTAACACGGTTTGAACAGACAGTGAACGAGAGTAACACGGGATACCTAGCACTGGTTATGGCAGCAGCAGAGGAGGAGAAGCTGAGTACGGAGCTACCTGCGGCAGTGAAGGAGGTCTTGGAGCAGTACAAGGATATAATGCCCGACGACCTACCTGGAGGCGTACCTCCGGCACGCACCCACGAGCACGAGATCGTGGAGGAACCAGGTGCGAAACCCGTCTCACGTGCACCATACCAACTGAGTCCGACCGAGCTGACAGACATGAAGGAACAGGTAGAGTATCTACTGGACAGACAACTGATCCGCCCATCCACCTCTCCCTACGGTGCACCCGTCCTCTTTACTCCAAATCCAGACGAGAGTCTACGGATGTGCATCGACTACCGTGCACTGAACAAACAGACAGTTAAAAACAAATACCCCACTGAACAAACGCACCAGCAATGTTTCAGGCGGAGATGAATCACATCTTACGACCCCTGCTGGACGAGTGCATAGTGGTGCACCTCGACGACATTCTTATCTACTCCAACAACATGAAGGAGCACGTGGACCATCGGCAGAAGGTGTTCGGGATCCTGCGGGAAAACAAGTTCTACGTGAAGTTATCGAAGATCGACTTCGCCCTGAAGTAGGTGCAGTTTCTCGGGCACATGGTGAGTGCCGAGGGCGTACACATGGACCCGCGGAAGATCGAAGAAGTCAAGAAGTGGAAAATACCGGAGAACGTGAAGGAGTTGCAGCAGTTCCTAGGCTTCGCCAACTACTACAACAGGTTCGTGCCGTAGTACACTAAGATTGCACCACCACTGACCCACCTATTGAAAAAAGATACGCCCTACAAATGGGATACGCCTCATCAGCAAGCCATGGAGTAGTTACAGATAGCACTGACGACAGCACCAGTACTCATCCTACCGGACCCAGACAAGGACTACGTAGTTGAAGCAGACGCTAGTGACCAGGCAGTTGGAGATGTACTAATGCAAGATCACGGGAACGGTTTACAACCTATTGCCTACCTCAATAAGAAGCTACACGGAGCAGAACTGAACTACCCCATACACGATAAGGAAGCCTTAGCCATAGTTGCAGCCTTCAAGGCGTGGAGGTGTTACCTAGAGGGAGCCAAAACTACAGTCTATACTGACCACTGCAGTCTCAAATACCTGAAGTCGCAGCCGACGCTCTCACGACGACAGGTGCGGAAGGTGGAATTTTTGGAAACTCACTTCCACTACGACATCTGAGAGAAGTTGAACGAGAATGAATGCACTATGAAAGAGTTGGTTACAAGTACTAACCCTAATTGGGTTGTACCCAATATGGGCTACCCCACTACAGCCTACACAAAAGCATAAGCTATAATGTTCTGACACACCCCTATAGGCAAAGTGGGGGAGAATAAGGGGTCACAAGACCAGTCAAGCAAAGCAAAGCAAAGCAAGCTCGGGGTGGATCACAAAGTCACCACACAGTCCGAGCACAAGGTCAAGGCCACAAGGCCAGTTCACATGCAAGAGTGCACATATATATATATATATATAACACTAAACAAGCAAGAGCAGGTATATATATATGCAAGAGTACAAGTAAGATCAAGAGGTGAGCAAGTGAGGTAAGACAGGTACAAGTCCCAGCTGAGTGCAGAAGCGCTGATGATCATAAGGCGGAAGTGCCTTAGTGAAAACATCAGCAGTGTTGGCCTCAGAGGCCACGTACGCAGGTCGCAACTGACCACGCTGCTGAAGCTCACGAGCAAGAAAGTAGCGGAGAGCAATGTGCTTCGTTCTGTGCTCCAGGCGCTGCTCTCGACACAAGGCCAGCATGGCCTTGTTGTCTACGTACAGCACTAGAGGAGAACGAGGCGGCTCTCCAAGGTCAGTCAGCAGGTAGGTGAGCCAGCGAAGCTCCTGAGCAGCCATGGCCCCGGCGTAGATCTCAGCCTCACAACTGGAGCCGAGAACAGAAGACGAGCAAATAGCCCGCCACGAAACAGAGCCGGAACCAAGACTGAAGGTGTAACCCTGTGACGACCGCTGAGTAGCCTGGTCGTCAGCCCAAGAAGCGTCCGCGTGCCCAGTGAGGACCACTGGAATCCGCCCTCCAAGCACTAGCCCCATGCCCGACGTACTGCACAAGTAGCGCAACACCCTCTTCGCTGCAGCCATGTGCTCTGGTCGGTGTCTCCCAGGAGCAACATAGCGTGCAAGAATGCTAAGAGGGTGTGCAAGGTCAGGTCGTGTGCAGGTCATCAGGTACATGAGGCAGCCAACAAGCTCTTGGTACGGGCCACTCGACTCTACGGACTCATCCGAAGGCAGAGCTGAGACCGAGTGGCGAGTAGACAGAGGAGTGGCCTGAGGCGAGGAGTACGTGAAGTCGAAGCGCTGAAGGACCTGCTGCACCATGTGTGACTGAGTCAAGGTAATGGTGCGTCGTGCTCTGTCCCGAGTGATCTGCAAGCCAAGGTAGCTGCGCAGTTCACCCAGGTCTGTGCACGTGGTCTGAAAGTAGTCAACTCCCTGCCGCTGACTGAAGCCACGAGCCACGTAGCGCGCCTTGAAGACAGGCGGAGAGCCCGGCGGCCGCTTCACCCTGAAGATCCACATGCCACTGACGATGTTCGCCCCACGAGGGGGAACCGCGTCAACGTAGGTGCCT